CGTTGCCCACGCCGCGCGGCATCCCCGCCGCCACCCAAACCCCTGCGTGTCCCCCACGCCAGCGGCCAAGTTAGCACAGCGCCTCGGCAACGCCTCGCCCCCGAGCCGCGCTGACTAGACAAGACTGAGAGACTCGCGGGACTGGTCCACGAGGCGACAGAAAATCGCCAGGTCATTTCCTCCAGGGCTACCATGTGAGCGGGCCTCAGCCCTGCCCACGCAACCCAACCCAGCCCAGGTCACCCGCAGAACCAGCGCCTCTAAAGAAACACCAGCCAGCACAGCCCTGCTCGGGCGCCGAGGGGCCGGACTAGAGGATAGTTTCCTCTCTCTGAGAGGAAGGGATCCGTACAGATCCCCAGACCTTTGCGACGAGGGCGGTCGCAGGCAGCTGACTGGCTTGGCTTGGGGCAGATGGATTTTGTAATAAAAGCACAAAGCAGGGACACTTGCTGCCTGGCTCATGAAGGGAGGCCCAAATTCATTGCTCAGGGGTTCCAGTGTAAGCCCAGACTGCTCCCAGGCGGGTCTGCGGAAGCTGCCGTACAAAAAAACCTCTTCATTCCCTAACCTCTGGCTGCACCCCTCTCCCGGAGTCCAGACATCACGTTCCACCTGTTTACTTGGAATCAGGGGCCCGAATGGCTGATTGGCAGAGTGCCCAGAGATCCCTAGGCTTCAAGAGGGCCCCAGTCCCACAGCCACACACCGCAATGTGTTGGCAGAATATCCCCAGCTACCTGCGGCTTCCCGGTGGTATTCACCTGTCCACAGCAGAGACAGACCCCCCTCATCTGTCCGCTCCAAGAAGCCCAGGCCGTGCCACTTGAGCTAAAGGAGAATCCCCATTAGCCGGTAGCAGTAGAGGACCTATGACACAGTTACTATCCTGCACACAGCCCTGCCGGGACGTTGCAACATAACTGTCCCCTTGGCAGGGCCGTATCAGAGAAGGGACGTGGGCACCCATAGGGAACCTGGCAACGGCCTCACTGGGCATCTCCCCATTGGATGTCTCATTCCCTCTGCCAGTGGCAATCGGCTGTGCCAGGGAGTTTGGACAGGCTGCCCGAGCCCTGCAGGCTCACGGATTCACTTGGCCCACTAAGGACACACACCTCAAAGGGATAGACTGATGGCCCCCGGCGTGGGCCGACTGGACTGCAGCCACGGTTAATGAGAGCTAGTACTTCTAGTTCCCCCTCCCTGCCCTAGCCATGGGTTACCAGTGGCTGCTGCCCAAGACGGGCCTTACCACCACCTACCACCCACTAGGTGCAGAGACAGGAAGCGACTTGCTCAAGGTCACGGAGCAGCTCAGGCCTCTCGGCTGCCCTCCCGTAGCCGGCTGACCTAGTATGTTGGGAAGCACCAAGTTCTAGCCCCGTGGCACGATTCGTGTCAGTGGGGCGACCATGCACCCTTTCCCAGGCACCAAGACAAGGAGCAGGGACGGGTGAGATTTGCAGAGAAAGGAAAGTCAGGGCACAACAATGGGACCTTTCTAGAGTGAAACAGGACAAACCACCCCCAGCAGATGCTGCATGGAGCCCAGCGTTGAGACCTGCACAGTGAAAGGACGGGGAATATTCGTGCCACTGCAACATGAGGCAGCATGAGGCCTGGATCCAAACAAGTCTGAGGAAGTCCGGATGCCGCTCTGAGTTTTGTGACTGGCCCCCGTTGCTACTGTAATGAGCTGCCAAGTGTGGACATGGAACACTGACCTCTATTGGATGGAATTCAAACTCCTCCACTGTGTGGCATAGGCCCAAGACTGCTAATTCATGGGGATTCTCCTTCAGCAAAAGTGGCAGGACTCTGGGCTTTAGAAGCAGGTGGATTTGAGTTGCAGCCAGGCAGTTGTGAAATTCTGTGCAAGGAGGGGTCCCAGTTGGCCAGAGATTTGTTAGAGAGTAATGGGCTGGACCTACAACACCCTTGTAAACTCGGCCGAAGCTCCGATCTGAACGTCGCAGCCTGGAACCCGGCTCCTCCAGCACTGGAAGGTGCCTGGCATCGGCGCTGACCCTACACGGGCTCCAGTACATCCTTGAGCCCCAGCTGCTGCGAGTTAAGTCGAGTGTCCAGCAATTGGAAAGGGGGCTGGCTGGGGGGGTTAACGATGGAAAAACGCCTCCCTTTCACACTCCCCAAGAGCAGGAGCAGGATTTCGATTTCAAAATCAAAGCCTCAAAGGTCATCTCATGCCCCGGCCCACCTAAGCTGGCTCTTACAGTCCCACCCATCACTTGAGCTTCCAATCCCCCACCCCAGAACCCCTTGCCCATGTCTGGGGGGTTTCAATCATGGGTTCTGTTTTTTCTCCCCCATCCTAATGTGGGATAGGCCCACACGCCGTGTCGGGGAGGGGGAATGGCTGACTCTGCAGGGGACCAGACCCACAGTGCTGTGGGATTCACGCCATGAGCAAAGAGGGAACTGCCTTCTCATCTCTTTCAGCTGCAGACACCTTGCATCCTACCTTGCAAGGCCAGTCAAGGAAGGGGACCTGTAGCTAGCACTTTACCCAACAACCCAGCCCTGCCCCACTGGGAGGCAGGATCACCCCCCCACTTTACACTGCAGTGGCCCAGCTCTGACCTGGAGCATAGACGCATCCTACATCAACAGAAGGGTTTTTCCATCCATGTAGCTACCCCACCCCGCTGGTAAATGGCTCAATGGAATAATTCTTCCCTCGTCCCAGCCGCGTCTACACAGGGCCTTAGGTTGACCTAACTCCATTGCACAGAACCATAGCTAGGTTATCTCACTTTTAAGTGTAGACCTGGCCTGAGACACACAGAAGTTAAGGGACATGCCTAACAGTCACAGCAAATCAGTAGCAGAGTCAGGAGTAGAACCCTATGCCCCCAGCCCTGGGTTTATTTCACCTCATTTTGGGGTTTTCTGTCACTCCCATCACTGGAGCCAGAGAACCCGCCAAGCAAAACCTTCATGGACTGGGGAAGGTCTGGATTCAAATCCCAGACAAGCAACAGCCTCCTGGCCTGACCTGGGGCGAATCACATGGCTGGTCCGTGCCACAGGTGCCCCCTCCCGCCCCAGCCTGATCTTGCTGCCACCCACTGTCCCTAGTAAATCCTTCAAGGCTGTCTCCGGTAGCACCTTGGGGCCCTTACCTTGGTTGGGGCTGGCTCTAGGCACTACAGTCACAATTATACTGACTCCCACTGCCCAAGAGAGATGTGCAGCTGGACCACCCGATTCACAGGTCTGAGGTCCAACCGCCATACCTGGATGCTGGTGTCCATTATACAAACAGCTCTGCATAGGGGAGCTTGTCCCTACACACACACATAGAATCATAGAATCATAGAATATAAGGGTTGGAAGGGACCCCAGAAGGTCATCTAGTCCAACCCCCTGCTCGAAGCAGGACCAATTCCCAGTTAAATCATCCCAGCCAGGGCTTTGTCAAGCCTGACCTTAAAAACCTCTAAGGAAGGAGATTCTACCACCTCCCTAGGTAACGCATTCCAGTGTTTCACCACCCTCTTAGTGAAAAAGTTTTTCCTAATATCCAATCTAAACCTCCCCCACTGCAACTTGAGACCATTACTCCTCGTTCTGTCATCTGCTACCATTGAGAACAGTCTAGAGCCATCCTCTTTGGAACCCCCTTTCAGGTAGTTGAAAGCAGCTATCAAATCCCCCCTCATTCTTCTCTTCTGCAGGCTAAACAATCCCAGCTCCCTCAGCCTCTCCTCATAACTCATGTGTTCCAGACCCCTAATCATTTTTGTTGCCCTTCGCTGGACTCTCTCCAATTTATCCACATCCTTCTTGAAGTGTGGGGCCCAAAACTGGACACAGTACTCCAGATGAGGCCTCACCAATGTCGAATAGAGGGGAACGATCACGTCCCTCGATCTGCTCGCTATGCCCCTACTTATACATCCCAAAATGCCATTGGCCTTCTTGGCAACAAGGGCACACTGCTGACTCATATCCAGCTTCTCGTCCACTGTCACCCCTAGGTCCTTTTCCGCAGAACTGCTGCCTAGCCATTCGGTCCCTCGTCTGTAGCTGTGCATTGGGTTCTTCCGTCCTAAGTGCAGGACCCTGCACTTATCCTTATTGAACCTCATCAGATTTCTTTTGGCCCAATCCTCCAATTTGTCTAGGTCCTTCTGTATCCTATCCCTCCCCTCCAGTGTATCTACCACTCCTCCCAGTTTAGTATCATCCGCAAATTTGCTGAGAGTGCAATCCACACCATCCTCCAGATCATTTATGAAGATATTGAACAAAACCGGCCCCAGGACCGACCCTTGGGGCACTCCACTTGATACCGGCTGCCAACTAGACATGGAGCCATTGATCACTACCCGTTGAGCCCGACAATCTAGCCAACTTTCTACCCACCTTATAGTGCATTCATCCAGCCCATACTTCCTTAACTTGCTGACAAGAATACTGTGGGAGACCGTGTCAAAAGCTTTGCTAAAGTCAAGAAACACAGAGTGTTATGGCCTCTAACTTTCTCAGCTCTCTGGGGCTGTCTGTTCTGTACAGCCCCTAGCCCACGGGGGGCCTTGATCCATGGCTGGGGCGGAGTACAGGACACTGGCAGAGCACGCTGCAGGATCTGGTGACAGCAGATCTAACCGCCCGCCCCCGGGGTGGGGGGCTTACTCCTGCCTCCCCTCCTCCCTGAGCTTACCCGCCCCCGAAGCGCCGGCCGGAAGGAAAGCCAGTCCCCGGGGGCAAGCCCTGTCCCTGGGGCACCCCAGCGCCCTGGGCTCGGCCGGGCCGGAGAGGGAAGTCAGGGTCCGCCGCCGGTCCTTACACTGCACATACAGCCCCGGGGCAGGGGTACCCGCAGCCGGGACAGGCCCGCTCGCGCCGGCCCATTGCACCGACCCCTGCCCTGCTGGTCTCCCGCACAGGCCAGGGGGTTTTGTGCCTGATCCTCCCCCCCCCCACACGTCCCGCCCGCGCCCATCCCCGTGGCACCCGGGCGGAGGACTCACAGCACGCAGAGGGCGTAGGCGCCCGAGACGCTCTCGCTGTCCCGCACCAAGAAGCTGCCGTCTCGCCCGGCTCTGGCCAGCAGCTCCTCCGCCGCCGCTCGGCTCAGGTCCCGGTGGTACCAGAGCGGTGCCGGGCTGGCGGGCCCCGGGCTGGCGCCGCTCCCCGCGCCGCACGCCATGCCCCTCCCGGGGGCCGGCTCAGGCCGGGGGGGGGGCGCCCCGCGCTCAGGTCGCCAAGGGCGGCGGCAACCCCCGCCACAAAAACCAAAACGGAAAACAAACAAACAAACAAAGTTCAGCTCGCTCCAGGCCGCCCCAGAGCGCCCCCGAGCCCGAGCGCCCGGGGCAATGCGCAGCGAAGCGCCCGCAGCCCAGCCCGGCTCGGGGCTAACATCCCCCCGGGCAGGGCGCAGCCGCCTCCCTCCGGGCGCGCCGCGGGGCCGGGGCCGGGGCCGGGGCCGGGGCCGGGCGCGCCGCGGGCGTTGTCCGGGGCCCCCGGGACCGAGCCGGGGCCGCTGCGGTTCGGGGGCGGGGAGCCCAGGCCGAGGGGTCCCGCCCCGCCGCCTCCTTGGCCGGAGTCTGCTCCGCCGGGCGCCCCTCCGGAGCCCGCCCCGGCTCTGCCCCGGGCCGGGGAGAAAGTTTCCTCCTGCAGAACAAAAGGAGGCGAAGTTGCGAGGAGCCGGAGCGGGGGCTGCGCACGGGCTCCCTCTTCCTCCAGGAAGCCCCCTCCGCCCCCGCGCCAGCGCCGATGCGGAGCAAAGGGCGAGGGTTTTCCAACATCCCCGGGGGGGCGGGGGCCAAGCTCCCGGGACAATGGGACATTCAGGGCTGCGGGCAGGAGCCGCGGGCGCGGGGGGGGGGGGGGTTGCTCCTGAGCAAACAGCCGCGTGGTTTCTCTCCCTTCCCAAAAAAGGAGAAGGGAGGGGAGCACCAGCAAGCGCCGCCGCTCGCGCCTGGGCTTTTCCCCCGCGCGGCTGCAAAAGTTTCGCCGGGGCCGCTCGCGCCCCCTCGCTGCCGAGCGTCGGGCCGGCCGCTCTCCTCCCCCTTCGCCGCCTGGGGCCGGCCCGGCGCGGCGCGGCTCCCCTCCCCGGGACCGCTCCCGCAGGCGGGGCCGCTTCCCCGCAGCGCGCCCTCTTCCTGCTAGATGCGGTCCCGCTCCGCCCGTCGGAGCATGTCTGCTCAGCCCGTGGAGGGAGAGGGCGAACGCAGCCACCCGGGCCGAAAAAGGTAGCTAGTGGCATAATAAGTGATGAATAAACTTCCTCCTGCAGCCTTGCGTGACAACGGGTGGCTGCCCTTAAAGGGACAGGTTTCAGAGGAGCAGCCGTTGTTGGTCTGTATCCACAAAAAGAACAGGAGGCCTCCTGGCGCCTTAGAGACTTAAGAAATTTATTTGAGCGTAAGCTTTCGTGAGCTACCGCCCACTTCATCAGTTGCATGCAGGGACAGTGCCTGGGTCTTAAAGACTGGGAGTGGATGGGTCATTACACAAAGTAAAACTAGTTCCCCATGTTTATCCCCCCCCCCCCGCTGTTCCTCAGACGTTCTTGTCAAGGGCTGGAAATGGCCCACCTTGATTAGCACTACAAAAGGTTCCGGCCCCCTCCTGCTGGTAATAGCTCACCTTACCTGATCGCTCTGGTTACAGTGTGTATGGTCACACCCATTGTTTCATGTTCTGTGTGTATATAAATCTCCCCACTGTATTTTCCACTGCATGCATCGGATGAAGTGAGCAGTAGCGCACGAAAGCTGATGCTCTAATAAATTTGTTCGTTTCTAAGGTGCCACAAGTCCTCTTTTTCTTTCTGCGGATACAGACTAACACGGCTGCTACTCTGAAACCTGTCTGGGTCTTTGGTTCTTTTACTGGGGGGGGGGGGGAGCTTATAAAAATGGCTTAAGGGATAATAACCAACTTTATAGCTCTATTCGGGCATACGCTTTCGTGAGTAAAACCCCCACTTCTTCAGATGCATGGAGGGAAAAAATACGGATACAGGCTAAACATATAAACAAGACTTCAAAGAGAAATGGCAGAGCCACAATTTATTTGCAAACTTAACACCATTAATTTGGGCTTGAGTAGGGCCTGGGTGTGGCTGGCTCACTACAAAAGCAATTTTCCTTCTCTTGGTATTGAGACCTCCTCATCAATTACTTAAAAACAACGAGGAGTCTAGTGGCACCTTTAGAACTAACAAGTTTATTTGGGCATAAGCTTTTGTGGGTAAAAAACACACTTCTTCAGATGCATCAATTATTGGGAGTGGACCACATCCACCCTGACTGAATTGGCCTTGTCAACACTGGTTCTCCAAGTGTAAGGTAATGCCCTTCTCTTCATGTGCCAGTATATTTATATCTGTATCTGTAATTTTCACTCCATGCATCTGAAGAAGTGAGTTTTTTACCCACAAAAGCTAATGCCCAAATAAATCTGTTAGTCTTTAAGGTGCCACCGGACTCCTCATTATTTTTGTGGACACAGGCTACCCCTCTGATACTTTATAGATCTGTGTTTTAGCGCAGATCTAGGAGCTCTGTGTAAGCCCCAAAGCTGGTCTCTCTCACCAACAGAAGTTGGCCCAATAACAGATATTACCTCCCATGCCTTGTCTCCCTTGTAGCACTAGTCACCTTCCATTGGGAAGGATCCCATTTAAAAGGTTCTTTATGTGGCTGCCACCTCTGGGGTGGATTGCAGCTGCAGCTTATCACCAGGGATCCTAGTTTTCCGTGATAAAAAAACCCCAACATTCTCTGATAAAAAAAACATAAAAATCCGTGTTTTTCCACGATTAAAATGAAACGCTGAACTTAGTAGAATCCCATTTCTCAGAGCCTCCATTATCCAGCTCTCTGTATTAACAGAACCACCAGCCGCCTGGGGCTGACAGCACCAGGACTGGGGCAATCAGCCCCCAGGTGGCTGGGGCTTGGACTGTCTCAGCTGGTGGTTCTGTTAATACAGAGAGCTGGATACTGGAGGCTCGGATAAATGCGGTTCTACTCAATATATTTTTATTTGTTCACAAAATGTAAAAACTAAAGGTTCTCTGTAAAAACGCAAATGCTGGGTTTTTCTGTAGCAAACAGATTTCTAGGATCCCTGCTTGTCACCCCCCCAGCCACTGCTTGCAGGACCTTGGGCAGATCACTTAAGCGCTGTGCTTTGATATTTCTCCTCTATAAAAGGAAGATAATAATTCTGGCTTGTCTAGTTAGATTGCAAACTCTTCATAATAGGAACTGTCTTGTACCAGGGCTTTGGAGCGAAGCCCAGATCTGGAGCGTGGAGCAGCTCCGGAGCAGTGGAGCTGCAGGTTTTTTCCTGGAGCTGGAGTCCAAAGCCCTGTCTTGTACTACATGTTTGTATAGTACACAGCTAGCACAATGGGGCCTTGATCTTGGTTAGAGGCACAAGATGCTACTAAATAAATAATCTTACTTCATATTTGTTTAGGGCTGACAACGTGCTCACCACTGTGTAACAGAACATGGCAGGAAATGGTTTATTTCCTCCCATGAAAAACGTTGATGACATTTTAGAAATTGTGTTCCCTGAAATTCTTCTTTCCAAATTCCTCAGGATTTTGTTGAAAAGCCAAAAAAACAGCAAACGAAAATTAAAAAAAAAAAAAGTGGCTAGTCGGGTGAACACTTGTGGGCTTCCTGAAAATTTTTGCTCCAGTGGTTGAAATCTTTCAGTTTTACCAAAACTGAACAAACAAAAAAGAAATGGGGGGGTTCAACAAAAAACACCCCCCCCACACTCCAGCTTTCACCCTGACCACACCACACGATCCATCGTCTACAGCCAAGCTCTGCGATACAACCGCATTTGCTCCAACCCCTCAGACAGAGACAAACACCTACAAGATCTCTGTCAAGCTTTCTTACAACTACAATACCCACCTGCAGAAGTAAAGAAACAGATTGATAGAGCCAGAAGAGTTCCCAGAAGTTACCTACTACAGGACAGGCCTAACAAAGAAAATAACAGAACGCCACTAGCCGTCACCTTCAGCCCCCAACTAAAACCCCTCCAACGCATTATTAAGGATCTACAACCTATCCTAAAGGATGACCCAACACTCTCACAAGTCTTGGGAGACAGGCCAGTCCTTGCCTACAGACAGCCCCGCAACCTGAAGCAAATACTCACCAACAACCACATACCACACAACAGAACCACTAACCCAGGAACTTATCCTTGCAACAAAGCCCGTTGCCAATTGTGCCCACATATCTATTCAGGGGACACCATCACAGGGCCTAATAACATCAGCCACACTATCAGAGGCTCGTTCACCTGCACATCCACCAATGTGATATATGCCATCATGTGCCAGCAATGCCCCTCTGCCATGTACATTGGTCAAACTGGACAGTCTCTACGTAAAAGAATAAATGGACACAAATCAGATGTCAAGAATTATAACATTCATAAACCAGTCGGAGAACACTTCAATCTCTCTGGTCACGCAATCACAGACATGAAGGTCGCTATCTTAAGACAAAAAAACTTCAAATCCAGACTCCAGCGAGAAACTGCTGAATTGGAATTCATTTGCAAATTGGATACTATTAATTTAGGCTTAAATAGAGACTGGGAGTGGCTAAGTCATTATGCAAGGTAGCCTGTTTCCTCTTGTTTTTTTCTTACCCCCCCCCCCAGATGTTCTGGTTTAACTTGGATTTAAACTTGGAGAGTGGTCAGTTTAGATGAGCTATTACCAGCAGGAGAGTGAGTTTGTGTGTGTATGGGGGTGGGGGGGATGTGAGAAAACCTGGATTTGTGCAGGAAATAGCCCGACTTGATTATGTAAAGAGTTGTCACTTTGGATGGGCTAGCACCAGCAGGAGAGTGAATTTGTGTGGGGGGGTGGAGGGTGAGAAAACCTGGATTTGTGCTGGAAATGGCCCACCTGATGATCACTTTAGATAAGCTATTACCAGCAGGACAGTGGGGTGGGAGGAGGTATTGTTTCATATTCTCTGTGTATATATAAAGTCTGCTGCAGTTTCCACGCTATGCATCTGATGAAGTGAGCTGTAGCTCACGAAAGCTCATGCTCAAATAAATTGGTTAGTCTCTAAGGTGCCACAAGTACTCCTTTTTTTAAAAAAAATTGTCAAAACCATACATTTCATGGCGAAGTGTCCATGTGGAGTAAAGAATGATTCTTCTTGGAAAAAAACGGTTTGAGTGAACGAGTGTGATCAGTTTGACTGGTCAGTACACACAACGCCAGTCACGGCTCACAGGAGCTTAGGAG